AGCAGCATATGGATCGCCTCAAAGCCCTCCTCCTCTACTACGAACTTCGCCCAACAGATCGCACCATCGGCAAGCGCACAGCAGAAGTCTACGGAGCTCTACTCAACGGCAAACGTGTGAACGTGGCTCATCATCTCCACGAGCTCCTTCTCAAGCTTCTCGACCGCGCCATCCTCGCCACACTCAACAAGAAGACCATGCGCACAGTAATCTTCCCACTGCTGATCGCTATACACCAAGCTCTTCCCAACAAGCAACCGTGGACAACCCAAACGAACTCCACAGAACAAAGCGACAGCTCCGAAGAACACTCAGAATCAGAAGGAGCAACTCCCAGCAAGAAACCGAAGCCAGCATCTCAACAATCAGGCTCAACTCACTCCAACAACACCAGCTCCAGCAACATACACTCCAACAATTCAACTCCACTTCGCCACCGCTTCACACGCAAAACACCAGCGAATCCAGCTCCCAAACCGCTGATCCGAGAGCACCTCGTCATCAGCAACAAGGAACACAACTCACACCACCATCAACAATCACCCCAGAGCCCGCATCCACTCGAATCAGCCCCAAAACCGACAACTTCTCACAAACACATCAACATCGCCAAAGAAAAACGTCAGTTGATCGCCCAGAACTCAATTTCTACACCAGCTGAGAACAACATTCTCAACGCCCCGACCTCCTTGACACGTTCCACAAAAGAAAACATTGACTACCTTCGCCAATTACTTGAAGAACACGCAACCATGTCTCCTCCAGCAAATACCACGACCAGCATTCACAAAAATTCCACCCCTTCAACAAAATTCCAAGCGAAAAATTTCTCAACGGATAAATTAATTTCAGCGCCACATCTGGGCCGTTCATCCACCATCAAACTGAAAAGCTCATCTCCAACCACCTCAAAGAATTTGGCCCGACCACGTCACCCACATCCAACGAAGCAGATTCAGCCTCCAGCAACTTCAACTCCCGGGACCAAGAACACAGCGAACCCTAGCAAGAAACACCAGGATCACTGAGCAGGAGCAGGAGCAGCAACCATGCCTCAGCCACAGAGTCAGGTACGCCGTGATTATGACGAGATCAGGAAGGAGTACGAAGATAAACTTCGCGACCCAAGCTACTGCACCCGCAAGTTGTTTGAAGCCCTGGATCAACGCATGCACCGCGAGCAAGCAAACTACTTCCCAACACCAGCCGACATTGCACAGCATCTTCTCAAGCAAAACTCCTTCATATACACCTGGGGAGCGATCAAGAAGGAATTTTATGAGCCTTTAAACCACCGGCTGGATACTCAAATTGAAGAGATGAAGCAGATCCGCACTGACCTCCGGGACATCAAGAAGATCGTCTCCAAGCAGCCATCAACCCCATCAGCAGCTCACGAATTCACCTACAAATTCAAATATGAAGAGCTCAACGCCCGCTACCGGAAACTCGAGGATGATCATACCGCCCTGCTGGCTGAGGTAGCCGACCTCCAGGAAGATGGGACAGATCCACCAGACAGCGTCCCTAACCACAAGCTTACACTCCCACAGCAAAAACGTCGCCTCTATCGACTTGAACAGCAGCAGCAACAAGCGATGGAAACTGACTATATTCGCACCGAGGACGGTGTCTAGTTCTGTCAGGGGAGCAGAATGTAGCAACCAAAAACCCAGGTTCAGGGGACTCTGACTTTGAACCCAGGGCTGCATCGGAGCCATAGATTAAATCATGCATAGCATATAGTATATGCTAGCAGTTAGAACCGCTAGCCTTTCAAAAGGGGGAATCCGAATTGTGGATCCCTATCTCCATTCCATTGTTTTTCTTATCAATACACAGCATTCTTTTACTCGTGCTTCTTCTCTGCCCTTGGAGATCGGGCCCTTTTCTCTTTTGTTTTCTTACTAACAATAGATTTCCAGTGAAGAGGAGTTTTCACATCATCAAACTTTTGTGACTAGTATATTGTCAAAGTGGAAATATAGGGTTGGCAGAAAGTCATAGTGATCATTCTGCAGGAGAGCTTGGCAGTGGATGTCAGCCTTTTGGTCTAAGGATTGGTGATGGCTTTCATAGCTCAATTAATCGTTTTGATTTGTTGTAAGGTCCCATTGGAGGTTTGTCTGAATGAATGTTGAAGTTTAGTTTTCATTTAATGTGCAGAAAATTCAAACACCGACCATGTGTTTGGACATCATTCCTATCGTTGTTGTGGTTCAACAACATCTGAGAGAGAAGCTGATACAGCACACTGGAAAGAAAGAAAAGAAAAATCAGTTCCTCATAGGAATCCAAGTCTACATGTAAGCTGTTGGTGTATTATATAAAGATAACATTGAAAACTATTATTACTTAAAACTAAAGATAATATAGTTATTACTTTGAGTTATTGCACACAGCATGAAGATCATGCTTTCCCAGTGACTCTGCTGGAACTGTGATGGCATTCTACATGTCATTTGAGACCGAGAATCATGAAGTTCTTGGAATCTTTTCAGCCAGCCATACAACATTTTTGCCAATGGCATTGGAAACCAGAAACTTTAGTTTGATCTAGCTCAGGACTTCCAACAGCTACTCCTTCCTCTAGAACAATCAGCAAATTGGGTAAGTGTCTTTTTTTGCAGTTTCGATCATCACTCTAATTGTGGCTTTCAGATTATACACCAATGATGTTCCTCTTTGTGTCCAAAAGAACAATGCGGTCACTGGGATCCCATTCCTAATCGAGAGCCAGCCCATGGGGTTCTACTCTAGCCTGAATGATGAAAGCGTACAATGCACAGTGACTTTGAGCTGCCAGTTCGTCCCAACTTCCATGCACACTAAGTGCGAGTAGCATTGCTTTGCGTTGAAGTTACTAAGTTGGAGGTCGCTACTAGCATCAATCAGAAAGGTCCAAGCGCTGGGGATGCATCCTTTGCATTGCATTTGCTCAAAGAGCTCGATGGCAGTCTTGCCTTGGTTGTTGTTATTCCTTTCCTGAAGCACTCCACCTTTACAAGCTTTCTATCAATTTGTTGTATATTGATCCACAAGCAATAGGTGGTTTTTTTAAGCTCTTTTTGATGGAAGTCATGCCCCACTCTCCTGAGACACTTTCGATTTCTAGATTATCTGTGGCCAGTCAATATTGCTGCTATTATGAAGCCAGCAACATCACCCTTCCACTAAAGTTTGCCAAGACAGAAAGTTAAAAGAACATTATATTGCCGCTGCTCCAGGTGCAAGAAGAAAATAACTTTGATCTTCCTCTATGTCGTTGAATGAATGTTAGCCAGGAACACCTTTTACTTTGCTACTACTCACACTACAAAGTTCTTGATCTACAGGCTAGGGGCATGATTGGTGTGACAGTCGATGCACATTGGCTGGTGCCTAGAAAGATAGAGCAGACAGACATCTAGCACAACAGCCACTATCCAGTATACATGATGATCGGCTTCAAGGATATGCTTTAAGGAGATAGTTCAGCATACACACGATGCAGGGGAGGTGAAGTCTCTAGAAAGCATAAATGCAGCTCTCAAACTGTTTCACTTTCAGGTATTAGGGGTTCTTACTTGAAATGTTACCAGCTTTGATTTAGCAAGTAGAGATCTTTGAAACCATCTATAAGTGTGCTTTCTCTTCTTTTTTTTTATCTTCTCTACAGGTTATGACGGTCATGGAAATATTTGCAGTGATTACAAGATAAGACCAGTTATTTATATATAAGAAAAAATTAAATAAATATAGATTTTGGGCTTATTACATGCCTATCCATTAGTTTCTTAATAAAAATTTGTACATATTTCCCAACAGAAGTGTTTTCAAGCCGTTTAGTCTTGTTGTGCTAGACTTCATGAAGCTGAACTTCTAACTTCCTTGGATCTCTATCTATCTGGTGGAGATAAATATTATAATTACTTAGATAGAAAAAAAAGTATTAAAAGGCAGTTGATGAATTTATTAGAATTTGTATTTTATAGGAAAATAGTTTTAATCCTAGATAATAAGATAATATATGCAGTGCGAGTCTGCCTACTCTCACTACCTACACTCCTTGAACTCGTGCAGCCTTGGTTTCCAGAAGCTGCTCATGAATTTCTTCCATCCTCAAAATCTACCTCGCAAGGTCGCAATGTTGGATAGGCAGGCTGAAAGATCCCTATTTCGCCAAGGAATGGTAGGAAGCTGCTGTCATATGCTCTACAGTCATAGAGGATGTGGAAAACATCCTATTTGGCAAAGGCAAAGACAGCGAGGGATGCAAGGTCTAACTTGGCGGGCCATCTCAACACATAGGTGGTGATTACCACATCTGTATGTGACGAGCTTGTAGCAAGCCCACCTCGGCGCATGATGATAGATGTGGGGATCCATGCCTATCAGATTGGGGCTCCCACTGTTCTTGGCAGCGGCCATTGCTCAAAGGCCTGCGACATCCTCCAGCTATAATCGTCTAATGAGCACCTCCTTGAGATCAAGGCCAAGCTTTGCTGTCCATTTCTTGAGCTCTCGCTCGTTTTGGATGGATTGTATAATCCACTTGAAAAAGCTTTCATCTTTCGTTAGAGTCAAGGGCGAAGGTTCCTGGATCTCAGATGAAGACAATAAGAAAGATTCTAAGATCCGCAAGCCACACAAGCCCTAAAAGAACGGGTAAGAATCATCCTTGCAATCGGACAAAAAAACTAACGACGCAAGTTGCAAACATTTCGAAGCCAAAGGTCCCATTTGATGAGGTAAATTATTGCTAGACATGAATGCTAGTAGTCACACACGCAACGCAATGCCCTAAATAAAAGATCTAAAGAACGCATCTAGTCTATCTTGTCAACACGATCCATGAATACACGGCACACATCAAAGGCAACGGTGTTTAGCGCACAGCCGTAGATCTTTGACATCCAACGGCGGAGACAGGCCCATCCTCGTCCGTCGATATTATTGGCGGTCACGATCGACACCCATTTACGGCCTAGATTTACCCAGCGCCTTTTCTATCATATACAAAGCGCGGAGGTATCTCACGTTATTCTTGTTCCAGCGGCGTTCTCTCCATGGCGTCGTCCAATGCGCTGGTTCTATCGCTCCTCCTCGCCGCCCTGGCCGCGATCCTCCATGCCTGCGCTGCCGCTGCTACTTCTGCCGCTGGCGCCGACTACTCCATCCTCGATCTTGGCTACGATCCGCAAGATTTAAGCTCGGAGGAGCGGCTGCAAGCGCTGTTCGATTCGTGGATGCTCCAGCACGGCAAATCCTACGCCGACAACGCGCTGTCGGGAGATTCGCAGGCCGGCGAGAAGGCGACGAGGTATGGGATCTTTAAGGACAATCTTAGGTTCATCCATGGCGAGAATGAGAAGAACCAGGGATATTTCCTGGGATTGAACGCGTTCGCCGACCTCACCAACGAGGAGTTCCGGGCGCAGCGTCACGGCGGCCGCTTTGACAGGTCGCGCGAGAGGACCTCGCACGAGGAATTCCGCTATGGCAGCGTCCAGCTCAAGGATTTGCCCGACTCTATCGACTGGAGAGAGAAGGGGGCAGTGGTCGGGGTTAAAGATCAAGGCTCATGCGGTATGTGACACATACTTCTATAGTCTTTCTTCCTTTTGTCCTTCGCTGCTGGTAAGTTTTAGAATAGCAGTAAGTCCGGAGTTCTTGGAAGGTTTACTCCCAGCGTAGTATTTCTAGAGAAGGAATCGTTTTCTTTGCTCTGATCTCTAACGGATTTTGTCTTGGTCGGTGATTCCATCCAGGGAGCTGCTGGGCCTTCTCGGCTGTGGCAGCGATTGAGGGCGTGAACAAGCTTGCCACCGGAGAGCTCGTTTCATTGTCGGAGCAAGAGCTGGTCGACTGTGACAAGGGAGAGGACGAGGGCTGCAATGGCGGTCTCATGGACTACGCGTTTGGGTTTGTCATCAAGAACGGTGGGCTGGACACCGAGGCCGATTATCCTTACAAGGGCTATGGCACCCGCTGCGACAGGAGCAAGGCAAGTGAAAAAACATAAGTACTTCCGTGTCGACACTCTAAAGTACTTACAAGTCTCTTTCCGGATCCCACCAGATGAACGCCAAAGTTGTGACGATTGATGGCTACGAGGATGTCCCAGTGAACGATGAGACAGCGCTCTTGAAAGCCGTGGCTCATCAGCCCGTGAGCGTAGCCATCGACGCCGGTGGCTCGAGCATGCAGTTCTACAGATCGGTGAGTAAACTCTAAGCAAAGAGCTTCAATGGCTCGCGAGCTAAAAGTCGTGATTTGCAGGGAATTTTCACTGGCAGGTGTGGAACCGACCTCGACCACGGTGTGACCAACGTCGGCTACGGCAAGGAAGACGGCAAGGCTTACTGGATCATCAAAAACTCGTGGGGCTCGAACTGGGGAGAGAAAGGCTACGTGAAAATGGCCAGGAACACGGGACTAGCAGCTGGGCTGTGTGGAATCAACATGGAGGCATCGTATCCGACTAAAACCGGCGCAAATCCTCCAAACCCAGGCCCGACTCCGCCATCGCCAGCGCCGCCACCCAACGAGTGCGACGACTACTACACTTGCCCCGAGAGTAGCACTTGCTGCTGCCTGTTCAATTATGGCAAGTACTGCTTCGCGTGGGGATGCTGTCCTCTCCAGTCGGCCACTTGCTGCGAGGATCACTACCACTGCTGCCCGTCCGACTTCCCGATCTGCAACTTACAGGCCAACACTTGCCTCAGGGTAAGTTAGCTCGTTTGTTTTCTGTTTGCATACCCGTTGTGGCTGATCGTTCGTTCGTTGTGATCTTCCGCAGAGCTCCAAGGATTTGCTTGGGACAAAGATGCTGGAACGCACCCCGGCGCGCTACACTGGAGGAGTGGACCGCAAATCCATGGCTTCGGCGTGAGACGGGAGCGTCACTGCCTGGCTGTACATAGTAATCCATCCTCACAGTGGACAATTTATTATTCCTGTAAATTGGTTCCTTTCCTTTGAATCGATCAAAAGACAATTAGCGTTGTGGTAGCAAAGATAGAATCCACAAAATCAGAAAATTTACAAACCAAAGGTCCACAAAATTGTGTAGTGCTGCCGCTCAACTCACAAATCTACCTGGAATAAATGCTGGAAAAAATCGAGAAGATTAGAACACTTGAAAGAAAAATGTGAAGAAAAAAACAGACTTACCATTCTCTTTGAAAATGAAGCCGTGAACTTCTTGCTGTTCCTCCTCCTTGTCGACGTCTCCTCCTCCCCCAGTGATACGCATCTACACGGGACAGTGCGACAGAGATTTTACGCTGGGAAAATCCGAAAAAGCACTCACCTTGACGATGCTCTTGCCCCGTTTGCTGTGAATTACGGGCTTGAATGTGCACTCCCGCATTGCAACTTGTTGCAAATCCTTTTGAAGATCTTCCATCCTCGTGGCGCGTCTTCCTTTCTCTTGGCAGAGGATTTTGTACCAATTAGTCGTGCCTCTGCCACACGTAGAAATCAGTAGAGATTCATAAAAAGAATTTGAGATAGAACTTACTTGTATTTCCGTCTCTTGATTGCCAGCGCTCGAGAGTAAGGGCTCATTCTAAACCGGAAAGTAAAGGTCTTGAAAGGGTCATCGATCCTTCTTGTTTTGAGGACTAGATGAACACCTCTCCTCTTAGCTTTCTGTGCGAAGTACCAGGACGTGAGAGACAAGATAAAAAATATATCCAAGACTTACTCGAATCGGCATAAGCATTTGCACAAATCCCTCGTAATTTAGTGAAGTCACTGGGCTGCCAGACTTTTTCATATCCTCGATGTCCTCAATAACATCATCCATTAAAGCCTCCGTCACAACCGTTTCCAAGTTAACAATACCACTCTGGCACGACTCACATGTCAGCGACTAGCCAAGGCTGATTAAACAAATTGCCTACCTTATTGGTGTCGAGATAGTCAAATATCTGGCGAAAGCTTCGCTTTTCCAGCTCCTTCAGAATATCGATGGACCTGGGCAATACGTACTCCAGAGTTTTGATCTTGGTCTGCTGCAAGCTCTTTTCAAACTTGGCTTGCTTTTTGTGGTCAAGATCAAAATACATCTGGTACAAAAACTCCCCAATAGGAAGAAAAGACGCATTCCTCTGGAAACACAAACACAAAGTATTAGTATTTTTCTCGCAAGAATGTAGCTCTACCTCAACTTGAGGCTTGCGCCCCGTGATAGGAGTGAAGAGCTCTTGTCCAGTTGAGGGATCAATCGGCTTGGAAAACTCGTCCAAAAGCTTCTGCTTTAAAAGATTTGTTCTTTCTGCATATTCCAGCAGCCTATCAAAAACAGATCTTCCTGGTTCTCGCTCATGCGTGTCCGGATGACTCCGTTGGCTTTTACTAATGCTAGGACGAAATGTTACTCTGGTTAAAAACAAAAAAGAATGTTAGTAATCAGTCTAACGGGGTAACCAAGACTCATACCCTTCCGGATACCATTGCGTGTATTCTGCTTGTCTCCTGCGTCGAATTTCGGCATCCCAAAATAATTGGTCGAAACGAGATCCCAGCTGCTGCTGTTGCAGCTTGTCCTCTCGATTATCTCTATCTGTCCGGAGTATCTCGTTTATACGGGGCTTAAATGTACATTCCATCAGTTGAGCTTCAAAGGCCTGGAGGACTAAGTTAGAAATGTAGGAAAACAAAGAGCTTGTTTCTTGTTAACAAGTTACCCTGTTATCGAGAGATTATTGCAACCAGTTCTGCGGAGTAACCTCATTACGCAGTTGCTGCAAGTGCTCTGCGTATCTATCCTCAAGAAGCCTCTTCCAAACGACCTTCTTGTTCTTCTGCTTCCGAGCCGTCTTACTGTTGCAAAACAGACATAAGCCGGCTTATGAGCGAAAACAAAGTTTTCAAACCTTAATTCCGGCCTGAAAGTAAACCCGTTGAGCTCGTTCGCTTCGTCTTCCTGCTTTTTCTTCTGAATCTGGACTTTCCTCTCATGTTGCTTGTTCATGCCTTCTTGATACAGCAATTCGCCGTAGTTGTGAAACTGCTTGGCGGCGGTCGATCTGACTCGCATGATCATGCTCGATCTCTAAAGAAAATAAAACAAAGAGAGAGGTCAAACAAAAGAAAGGCACGTTCTTGAACCTTTGACATGTGTGTCTTGTTCCTGTGCACCTTCTCAACGAACTGCTCGTGCAGGAGCCGGCGTCCATCTTCCATTTTCTGTTTGTGCCTTACAAAATCCATATGTAGACGCAAATACAAAGCTCTCTGCACAAAATGCCCAGTCAGAAACGTCACAAAACGGGACAGGAAAACCGGCACCTGTTTCTCGGTAAGCGGTCGTTGGCCTGTCTTCTTCCTTGGTTCCAAATGACAAAAAACGCTACTTTTTGCTCGGAATGTGTACGTATGTGCCAGCAGACGCTCGGACATTTTGCCTGCTGGTGGTGATTTAGTCTTGCCCGCAGCCTTGTTGGCCGCAGAGGTTTCATGAGTTCCCGGTTGTTTGCCGCTCGATTCACTCTTGCTTGCAGGAGCAGCTTCTCTTCTGGTCGGCCTCGCGGGCGCTGTTGCTGGCCTTTGATTTTCCTTTCGCCAGCCATCGTCTTTGCTGCACAATGCTGACAAAGTTTACCTGGTTTCGAGCGAAAAGAACAAAGAAAAAAAAACAAGTGTTCCAGTACCTCAGCCGGATGATATTATCAACAATCAGCTCAGCTAGAGGAGCTTCGAATTGCTGAGGCAGTCCATGCTGATTAACGAAGCACTTCGCGACCATCTCAGCCGAATCCCCCTCCTTAACTTGAATGTGCTCCTCACGCCCATCTTGGATCTCGACAGTGAGAGAGAGGATCACCCTCTGCTTCTCTTGGTTATTGTTCGTCGACATTATACGTCCCTGGAGTGGAGCGCGCAAAGAATGAGATCTTTCTCGCCAACCAAAACAAATAATACACACCTGGAGAGACTAGCGGACGGATCATCAAACGCAATATCACATAATCTCATGCTGCGCGCCCCGGCAGGTTCCTCCATTCCACACAAAAACCTAGAATCTATCCAGCATTTCCTCCCACCTAAGACTGGATCATCGCTGCGACGCCCCGAACGCAGCCGACCATCGATAATCCGCGCGCTCCAATGACGCCTTCTCCTCCGCCTGGTAGATCGCGCGGATTGAAGAACCCTAAGAATGGAGGGAAGAAGAAGTTACTTGGATACGGAAATGGAGGAACAGTGGATTAATCCCAAAGACACCCAGTTTTACATTTATACCGGGACTTCAGGCGCCATGTGAAGATTCGCTTTTCCAACGGTTGGGCATATTCGTTCCGCTCGGCGAATATGCTTGATTCAAGTGAATCGCGAGAAGGCAAATCCCTAATTATTTGGGGCAGAGGCCTCACCGTTCGCGTCTCGCGCTTGGCGCTCTCGGGACGATCGAAATCTTGCTGCTGCGGGATGGAAGGTAATCAATCCAATCTTTCTTGTGACGATCGCAGCTCTGATCTATAATATTTCCAGGGCAAGATGCTCTCGCCAGCAAGCTCTCGCCGTTCTCACAGGGATTGTGGCACTGGGTCGTCTCAGGGCTCCATCTCTTCTTCCTCGCCGCTGTTGCGCTAGGGTTTGTGGTGTCGATCAAGACCGGCGCCGGGATCTTTGGCAGCCATCCTGTTCCTCGCCAATGGCTTGCTTCCTTCCTCGCCATTCTCATCGGCATCGCACACTGGAGCATTCTCGGCGGATTGCTCCAAGAACAGGGGGCTCCCAGACACGATATTGCGGCATCGATCGTCCAAGGCGTGGCGTGGATCGTCCTCTCCTTCACAGCATTCATGAAGCCAAGCCGCGGGCCACTGATCGCAGTGCTACGCAGCTGGTGGAGCGTGAACTTCATCCTGGGGACATTCATGGCCGTGTATGCTGGGCACGCCATCGTCCGCCATAACTCGAGCTCCCAGACGCTAGTGGCGCTAGCGAGCTGGCCAGTCTGCTGCGTGCTACTCTCCTTCTCCGGCACTCTCAATGATGGCTTTGAGTGTCCATCGTCCGCAACGCTCTCGGAGCCATTTCTAGCGTCCAGCAGCAGCTCCGCGCGCGACACCGAGAATCTCTACCACGTCCACTGCTCGACGTATGAGTCCGCCGGGTGCTTGAGCCGGGTGTGCTTCACTTGGCTCAATCCTCTCTTCTCACTGGGCAACAGCAGGCCTCTCAAGCCAAGGGACATTCCAAATCTCGGACAGGAGGACAAGGCCGAGGCTAGCTACAACCTCTTTGCGAAGGTGTGGAGCCAGGAGAAACTCAGGCATCCACAGATGAAACCATCGCTTCGCCGGGTCTTGACGACGTGTTTCTGGAGGAGGCTGGCCTGGAATGGCTTCTACGCGTTGTTCAAGAGCGCCATGCTCTCGGCCGGGCCGCTTGTCATGAAGGTTTTCATCGACTATGCACAGGGAAAGATCTACTTCAAGTACGAGGGGTACGTTCTAGTCTTGGCACTGCTCGTCGCAAAGTTGGCGGAATCGGTGGCACAGCGGCTCTGGTATTTTGGAAGCCGGAGGATTGGAATGCATGTCCGCTCGGCGCTGATCGGGGCTATATACCAGAAGGAGCTCAGGCTGTCGAGCATTGGCAAGGATGCTCACGCTGGAGGGGAGGTTGTGAGTTACATGGCAGTGGATGCTTACAGGATTGGGGAGTTTCCATTCTGGTTCCATCTGCTGTGGTCGACGCCATTGCAGATCATCTTCGCCTTGATCATTCTGTTCTACTCCATGGGATTGGCCACCGTTGCTGGAATTGTGATCCTCATTCTGACAATGGTGATCAACGCACCGATGGCTAGCCTGCAGCAGAAGTATCAGAACGAGCTTATGGAGGCCCAAGACGAGCGTTTGAGAGCAACGTCGGAGGTTTTACGGCACATGAAAATTGTCAAGCTGCAAGCTTGGGAGGAAAAGTTCCGGAGTATGATAGACAAGCTTCGTGAGGTGGAGATAAACGGGCTCTCGGCGCTTCAGTACCGGAAAACTTACAATGCTCTCGTATTCTGGCTGTCACCAATACTGGTTTCTACGGCAACTTTCGCTGCTCGATACATGCTCGGGAAGCCCCTGACTGCCAGCAACATATTCACGGCTCTTGCTACTTTCCGGATAATTCAGGAACCAATCCGTGCGGTCCCGGATGTTGTCGCCATATTGGTTCAGGTGAGAGTCTCACTAGCTCGCATTGAGAAGTTTCTACAAGATGACGAGCTGGACACGCATGCAGTAATCCGGGGTACGCGATCAACAACAGAGCATGCGATTCAAATGACGAAAGCATTGCTCTCTTGGAATGGAAGTGCGGGAGACGCGACGCTCAGGAATATCAACTTGACTGTTAAGCATGGCGGGCGTGTTGCAATCTGCGGCGAAGTTGGATCTGGCAAGTCCACATTCATCTGTTCCATCCTCGGAGAGACTCCAAAGCTTGCCGGGATTGTAAGTGCTTGTCCTTTAGATGGAGTTTTACTCATGTATTCTTTCGCAGGTTCAAGTTTGCGGTACCGTGGCATATGTACCTCAGATTGCGTGGATCCAGAGTGGAACCATTCGGGAAAACATCTTGTTTGGTTTGCCTATGGATGAGCAACGGTACAGAAGGACTCTCAAAGCGTGTGCGTTGGACAAAGACTTGGAAAACTTCACCTTTAGGGATCTAACTGAGATAGGAGAGCGGGGGATTAATATCAGTGGTGGTCAGAAGCAGCGGATTCAACTAGCTCGTGCTGTTTATCAGGATGCTGACATTTACCTCCTTGACGATCCATTCAGCGCCGTGGATGCTCATACCTGTTCTGCACTGTTCAAGGTTTGCTCCTTGTTCTGCTTCAGCCTCTCACAGTTTACATGCTTCTCTGCAGAACTGCATAATGGGCCTTCTCGCAAAGAAAACGGTTGTGCTTGTTACTCATCAAGTGGAGTTTCTTCCTGCTTTTGATACGATCTTGGTACGTTAATATTTGTCGTTTGTAGCACTCCCAGACATGATCCATTTTGTTGAACAGCTTCTAAAAGATGGCGAGATATGCCAAGCTGGGAAATTCAACGAGCTCTTGCAACCGGGCAGTGCCTTTGAAGAGCTCGTCAACGCACACAACGAGGTCATGGGAATTATGAAACATGGATCCGGGCAGAAGTCGTCCGGCACTCCTCCTGGCAGTGCCGCTATTCTTCTGAGAAAGCTCAGCAGCGCAAAGTCCTTAAAGGATTCCTACGTGCTGGATGAAGTAGTGCCAGACCAGTTGACGAAAGAGGAAGAGAGGGAAACAGGAGATTCCGGGGCAAAGCCATATCTGGATTATTTAGGCCAGGCTCGGGGATTTTTGTACTGCTCGTTGGCGGCATTATCCCACATCGTCTTTGCAGTGGGGCAGCTTTCTTCAAACTGGTGGCTAGCAGCAGAGGTAGGAAACAAGGCTGTTGGCCCGGGAAAACTGATTGGAGTTTACGCAGCCATTGGCTTGAGCACCGTCTCGTTCCTCTTTCTCCGCTCAGTTTTCATCGTCATCATGGGAATCGCAGTTTCGAAGTCATTCTTTTCTGGACTGAAAAATTCGTTGTTTCAAGCTCCTATGGCATTTTTCGACTCGACTCCCAGTGGCAGAATTCTTAGCCGGGTTAGTCATCTGGGATCATTCCTTTAAGCACACGGTGATCTTTAAAACTCAACAGGTTTGCTTCACTGTGGATAAGTTTCTATCGCTAATTCAACTTTCCGTTGTGCTTTTATCTCATTCACTCACAGGTCTCGGTGGACATGAGCATTGTGGACGTTGATTTTCCCTTTAGCCTTTGCTATTTCATTGCTGCCACGGTAAACGCTTTGAGCAACTTAGCGGTTACGGCGTCAGTAACATGGCAGCTTCTCGTGATTATCATTCCTATGCTTTACTTGAACAGAGTACTACAGGTATTCTTTCAATCCATTTTCTCATCAGCTTTGTGCTTTGACATATGCAACCATTTCAGACGTACTACATGGCATCGGCAAGAGAGCTTAACAGGATTAATGGAATCACGAAGTCCCCAATCCTCAACTATTTCGGAGAAGCTATCACCGGTGCTGGTACCATCCGAGCATTTCAGAGACAGGAGCAGTTTATGAGAAAGATTTTGAGCCTCGTAGACGGCAACTGTGGGCCTTTCTTTTACAGCTTTGCTGCCAACGAATGGCTGGTTTTGCGTTTGGAAGCGCTGTGTACAGCAGTGGTTTGCTCTTCGGCACTTATCATGGTTTTACTTCCACCTGGGAAGATTGATCCTGGTACTGTATCATTTCATCTTATCTTGCCCAATATGTTCTCACCGGGTATGTGTTGAACAGGCTTCGTGGGACTTGCTATCTCCTATGGTTTGTCTCTCAATGTCTCGCTCGTATTCAGCATACAACATCAGTGTACCTTATCCAACTACAGTGTATCGGTTGAAAGAATCAAGCAGTATCTTGGCATTCCATCTGAAGCTCCTGCGACGATTGAAGGATCGAGACTCCCGGCACTGTGGCCAGCGAGGGGCAGAGTGGAACTAAAAGATCTACAAGTAAGAAGTTCTGATGTGATTTTTCTCAAGATAAAAGCATTCTTTTACAGATATCATATAGGCCTGATTGTCCGCTTGTTCTTCGAGGTATCACATGTACCTTTGAGGGAGGACAAAAAGTTGGCGTGGTTGGGAGGTCTGGGAGCGGAAAGACCACCCTTATCACAGCTTTGTTTCGCATTGCCGAGCCGGTTGACGGCCAAATAGCGATCGATGGAATCGACATCAGCACCATTGGCTTGCGAGATTTGAGGTCCAGGCTAAGCATAATTCCGCAGGAGCCAACGCTGTTTCGAGGGACCGTGCGTTTTAATCTGGATCCGGAAGGTCTCTACACTGACTTACAAATCTGGGAGGTAAAATTTCTATCCATTTGTCAAATTAAGAACGTTCGTGTAGGCTCTGGACAAATGCCACCTTGGAGAGAGTGTACGAGAGAAAGCAGAGCATTTGGATGCCCCAGGTGAGATTTTTTGTTTCTACTGGCTTCATATCTGGTGTAACCATTCGTTTCACCAGTTGGTGACGATGGCGAGAACTGGAGTGTTGGTCAGAGGCAGCTTTTTTGTCTCGGAAGAGTCCTCCTCAAGAACAGTCGCATTCTCATTCTAGACGAGGCCACGGCATCCATAGATAACGCCACAGACGCTGTTCTCCAGAAGTTGTTACGGGAGGAATTCGCAGTGTGTACTGTGATCACCGTTGCTCACCGGATCCCGACCGTGGTAGACAGTGACATGGTTTTGGCGCTCAGCGACGGTGAGAGCTCTTATATTTTTCTCATTTTCATTTGGAACGATCGATCAGCGTCTCTGCTTTTGCAGGCATCCTCGCGGAATTCGACCAGCCACTCAAGCTCCTGGAGAACAAAACCTCGCTCTTTGCAAAACTCGTCGCAGAGTACTGGTCGAATTCTTCGCCGGGCGGACTGGAGCGAAAGCCATCGAGAAGCGTCTCCTTTAACAAATAATTCAAGAGCTTCCAAAGGGGAAGCGCTGATCATCGTATCATATCGACACCATCTTCCACTGGGTAAGCATTTCCATTTTAACTTCTTGTCCGCAAGGAGGCCGAGCTGAGCGTCAAGCTCGGGCCGATCGACGACTTGGACGAACTCACGGTGTTGTAGAGCATGACGAGCGCGGGGCCAACTGCAGTGTCCGGTCGCACGCCAGCATCGCGAGGTCCACATCGCTGTGGTTCCAGCAAGCGCTGAGCAGCGCCGCCCACGCTACTGCATCCATGGCCGCCGCCACAGCTCCACCTTTACTCCGCAAGAAACTCTTGAGCCGCTCCATCCGTCCCGCCCGGCCCAGAGCATCGATCATGCTGCTGTAGTGCTGGGCGATTGGCCTCACGCCATAGTCCCTGAGCATCGACACGGAGCAGCCATGGGCCTCGTCGATCGACCCCGAGTGGCTGCAAGCTGCGAGCGCGGTGGAGAGAGTGATCTCGTCGGCCTTGCAACCCTCTTGCTGCATTCTCCGGAGTGCCGCTGTCTTTTACTATCGGTTTCCGCGGACAGGATCCATCGCCACCTTGAGGAAGCTCGTGAAGTTGATCGCGTCGAGATTACCCCGGGACTGCAATTGTCCAGAGTCTGAAATGGCTTGGTCGATTCTGGGCTGGAAACGCTTCGGAGCGATCATGTTGGAGAGGTATCGATTCGTGGATCCTCCAAATCTCTGGCCTCGCAGCCCCTGGATGTCATCCACGTGGACAGTCAGATGGATTCCAAATCTTCTTTTGCATTCCAAGTCCAATAAGACGTACTGAAGTTATATTTTATTATCTCCCAGTGTTCATGGCTTTGTGGTTATAGCATGCACGCTGTAATGTTCTATTGTGTAGGGTTGCTGGGTTCGATTCCCATCCGCCTCAACTTTCAATTAAGAACAATACGGTCTTAGGGTCGCCCCCTAAACATGAATACTTTTTTATTATTTTATTATTTTATTATTAAATTAACTGTGTTGAATTTCTGGGTGTTAAGTACCATTTTATTATTTTCCTTTTTTTAACAATATTGAGAGTGGCTCTCCTCAAAATCTCATCTAAGATTAACTGTGTTGAGTTTCTGGGTAGAGATGCCCATGCAGTGCAAATGCCGAGAGGATGGAGTTCCAGCAAACAATCCCACAGCCACTGGAGCTTGTGAAGATCCGCCATGCATCCCCCAAGTTGCTGCTCTTGCCAAACATGCTCATCAGGCTTGTCGCCACCAGCACATCGGAGCCATCGCCTGGGTGGCGGCGCCACTGCCAAGAAAGTGCCTTGAGCATTGGAGTTTTTCCTTCTAAACTTGTTGGCTTGCTTTCCAAGGGATTTGAGGTTGGAAAAAAAGCTGACCTTGACAAGTCTTGTTTGAGAGGAGGTCAAGCTACTCTGTCAAGCAACTCAAGGTTTGAGAAAAAATGCTTTAAATTCCATTTGTATTATTTGATTTTTATATGAAACATAAAGAAATAGAGGATAATCACATATTACTGGTTGAGTTACCTGCATTATTTACACTAATCCACATATCATGCTTCCTGTTTGTAAGTTATAAATTATAGTGTCTCCAGCATTAGTAACAACTAAGGCTGATATCACTGTGCAAAAAGGTTGGAGTGTGCAATATTCATTACTGTCCCAAATGAATATATCCTTATCAATTATGATTTTAAATTTCCATCAGGCTGTAAATGTAGGTAGCAATCAGAATAATAAATTTTATTTTTATCTAATACGATATGGTTTTATATGAGAAGTTGCATATAACAACCTGTATCTAATGTCAATTGAAATCTTCTATTTTGTGAATATATACCATTTCCAAGTAATAAAATAGATCCAATCTCTCTTTAAGAACCACCTACAATATTTAAAGAGAAAATCCAACATGATATAGTATCTGTAGGTTTTACATCAACTCTTTTAGATGTACTAACAAATAATAAAGATCTATTTGGAATTTCAAAGAATAACCAATAGCAAAATTAAGATACTGTACTCTCATACTACCAGGATAAAATAAAGCGTTCGTAATTATTAAATCATGTAAAGCTCTAAATCTTCTCTTATGACTTGTCCCAAATCCTTGGGAGGTATAATTAGGGTCAGTAACTATTCTGTGTTATAACCTGAAACATTGATAATTCTAAATTATCAATGTTTAAGGACCCTTGAGTTCTTACCTGATAAAAAGTATCATCTATATATGTACTATTTAAGTATTCTGTGAGTTCTGTCATAAAATGTACAAAGTCTTCTAATGATAAATAATTACATTATGTTTTCTTTATAATAGTTGGCTGAGAAAATGCTAATGGTGAGTAAAATTTGGGATAGAATATAAAAAGAAAAAGAAATTTAAACATGATATATTTTCTATTTGTTATAAAATTCAAATATTTATATAATACACCATTTTAATTTAATGTATTTTAAAATAAAAATTAAAAATATGGATAAAATTAAAAAATAAAAAAATGTAACAATTTTTTTATGTAACTTGCAAGCTGCTCTCTTAGCTGCACAATAAATAATAACTATTGCTATATTCTTTTACAAACTAGAGTTTCTGTCATAAGAATTTTCTTTTGAGTTTTATTTTTGATACATTTATGATATTCCATTAAGGTCTCTACAAATATAACTTTATTGTATTGATAAAATAAAAGCATATTCTCAACTTATACTTTCTAATGCACTTTGTGATTATGAGGTTGTTTCATATCTTCTTTACTTCTATTCGGACCTCATGTAAGCCTTCAAGGATAAACACTTAGTGTTTTAGAATGAAGTGTGAGTACAAATAGAGGAGTTTCTCTTATTCCTCTATATCTTACAAAGGTTTATGGTGACTATTGCATATTAACTATACATTATAATTAGTAAAGATAAATTACTCCACAATAAAAGAGTGTTTAATTTAAGGTTTTGAAAAGCTTCACATATACTTGTATGGTCTTTCAACATTGTTAGAGGGCAATTATGTTATAGTCATTTCATTATTAAAGCAGAAAAACTTAATTAGTTATATTGCTTAATGGTATTTAAAGCTTGTGATATAGAACTTTAAGATTGTTAATTGCCTAAAAAGTTTCATGATTGACATTGATGCTCTTTCTCAATTTTTTCTCCCTTTTTCCTTTTTATATTCTTGAGATGTCTATTTTTCTAGCATTATTGGATTTTATAGATAAATATTTTATACCTTTGGCAATTATTATGGTTGATGTTTAGTGTCCATAAAGAACAATGCTAAATATACCTCTCTATATGAGGTTTGTGAGGTTCAAAAAATTGTCATAATGAGTTTGAAATTTTTATATCACTTGTTGATGACTTGGCATTTTGATATTTACATTTTCAATATTACCTTAAAAACAACTTCTTTTTACTTTGTGGAATTGATTTTGATAACCATATGCCCTTGGTAGTGCCTTCAATTTTTATTCCACCTTTTCTCTACACTTACTATTATAAGTTTAGGGTTATTTCTATATTCATAATGTTTATAAATTATAAACATATTTATAAACTTTTTTAAAAACACCTCCTCATTCAATTAGATTGATCTTAAATCATTTATAAAGTTTCTATAAATTTTAAAATAAATAAGTAAATCAAGTATAAAGCATAGAGAGCTGTAAAAACCTCAAAAATCTCCAAAGAGAGCTGCAAGGACCTCAATTGCAGCAAGCCTGGCTGATGAAAGCAGCAACAATGACAAGTCTACCAAATAATGCTGAGACAAGAACTACACTATGGCTAGTGAGTAGAAGCAATTCATTTGGATATGCCTCCACAACTCAACATATGTAGCTCACATCTTGAAAGACATAGTTAAGGCTCTGGTTGGAATAGGTGGAGAGGCAAGAGCTCAGGCAGGGAAGCAATATCCTTGAAAGCTTTCCAAACAAGATGTGATCGACAAATAGGTTTGCCTAGGTGGAGGTGCCCTAGAACACAACCAAAAGGGAAAGGTGGTAGAGGTGTCTAATTAGGGCTGAAGTGTTGGGAGTTCAAGGATGGCTTCCAGCTAGAGATGGAGGTGGGTATGTCCAAGAATCCATAAGCATGTGGAGATTGTGATGAACAGGGAGATGAAAAGTGTTAGGTGCTTAGGATCATACTATGAGAGCTTGGGCCTTCTGGAGCTTCTTTGTTTGGCTGAGTAGTGGTGGTGATGGTGGGACACTAGCAGTAACAATAGCAGCCACAACCAAGAGCAATACTATGCAGCATATACAAGCCTTGCATTTGCAATTTTTCTTCATAGTGGTTGGAAGGAATTTCACTTTTCTGTGTTGCCTTTGTCATAGCTTTATAATAGTCCACAGTTTGTGATTGGTGCATTTGTAAAATGAAACAGCATAACTATAGATTCAAAATGCCTGAAGCTCATGTTAAATGTTATTTTGGAAACAAATGTGTTATCAAGTCTTTTTCACTTTATAATGGTTTGTGGAAAAGTATAGTTTTCTGATTCATTTTTACAAAGTTCTGACTAGGGTTTGAGGAAAGCTATGGCAAGAGACGAAAAGATCGTGAACATGAGGGAGCTGGACTATACTCTATGAGACCATTGTTAGGGTATTCTTCCTCCATCCAACTCCCTGTTGTTTTTGATTGATGGATACGTGGTCATAGGACAAACACAGGCAGAAAGATTCCATGAGCAAATACAAAAACAAAGTTCTCTTGATTGTCAATCTCCTGTTTTTAATTGATTGCATTATTTCTCATATGATCCATGTGCTTCAAGCATGTCCAAGGAGCTCAACGAGCTCCATGTAAAATATGTAGACAAAGGTTCTTTTGATATTTTGTTTCTTTCTCTGGGATCGTCCAAACTATAGCTTCAATTATAGTCGTGATTCACCAAGGCTAGAGATTTTGGCATTCCCATGCAACCAATTCGCTGTGCAAGAGCCACTCAGCTTAGAGTATCTTCAAGAGATAGTCTCATCTTGATTTGGGCCACACTTCCCACTCTTTGAAAGGGTACGAGGGATATCTCACTCAGAATTGGATCCAATTCGAATATTTTATCAAGAATTTTGATGATGTTTGGATGTAAATGGCCCAAACACTGCAGTTTTCTCAAGTACCTCAAGGACAAGAGTGATGGCGATCGAATTCACTAGACTTTCACAAAGTTTTTGATCAATCAAACAGGGACTGTAAGCTCTACTGTTTATTTGAACAGGGTGTCCATAGTATTCTTCTTAGAACTGAAAATTTAAGATTCACAGATCTAATCTATCGCATTGCTTTGGCAAAAGCTTTATATCTTATGGTTTAACACCTCACTTTACTATTATGTCTTAGATTTTCTCTCTTTTAGCAGTTTTGTTACACTAAATGCTTTATGATCACAAGTGAGCATGCAAGAAGTTCCTCTGTGAGAAGAACTCATAAGCTGCCTTTGATGTGTTCCGAGAGGTGATAGCTCTGAACTCAATGTCCATGTTGAGTAGAAGAAAGCTGCTTAGGTCCTCAGTAAATTTCCACCACCACTCTTCATTTTCTTCTTGCCACTTTTCAGTGTGTCATTGAGAAAAATTTCATGTGTACCTTGAAGTAGCTTCTTGCTAGAGACATGGGAAGTTTCAAGAGGCCATAAAGCACCATAGCATGGTACTCAGATTGCCCATCTCTCCAGCCAGCACAGTGGATACAATGAGGCTCTAGGGGTGAACTTATATGAACTGCTGAAAGCTTCAGGTATATTAACATTGAGCATAGAAGCATGCTCTATCAAAAGCGAGCTTGGTGAGCATAAGGGCAAGCAGTAAGTATCGTCCTTTCTAGTTGCATTGGAGTGTTGGGGCTGGCAAGCACTCCTGTTGAAGTTAGACATTCCATATCTTGACCATGGGTGGCTGCAACAGTATATAAGCATCATTTCTAGAAATTATTTGTTAGATGCAACTCAAGTAATGTTTTTCCTTTTCTTTACTCTTTGACCTTTTGAAAGGAGGATTGAGGAAAGAATGAGATTTCTGATGCAGTTGTGGTCACTAGTGTTCATGTCATCTTAAGTCAAGTAGGCAATCTTGCTAAGACAAGACTTTCTATAAATCTAAAGAATTTAGTATTTCTATAAGGAGGATTAAAACTTAACACTGATTAGCTACCTCAAGATGTTCTGAGGGCAATATGAAAGTTTGACATACACACCAAAATCTAGGAAAGTGTAGAACATTGAAAGTAGAACATCACTAGTTGAAACCCATTAAAACTTGATAGGAAATGTAGAAGAAAAAGCACTTAGAGTAAATTTCAACTGAACAATATGTTGACTTAAATTAATATTAAAATGCTTACTCTCAAAATATTGTGTGTAGCTAGTGTTAATATATAAAATTAAAAGATAAATATGTATTTTAGGGTTTAGTGGAAGAAATGCTGGGCGCGATGGAGGAAGCGCCGCCTCTCCTCCTCGACTGTGGCTACATGGACGTCCGCGAGCTACAGCGGATCGAGAGGTCTCTTCAGCGATCTCTGGCGGCGGCGACGCTGGAGCGCGCGTCGGGGGAGATTTTCGGTCGCCGACCATCGTCGCTGGTGGCACTAGCGGCGGAGGTAAAGAAGGAGATGCTAGACTTCCTAGAGCAGAGCAGCGATTCTTTCCGGGAATTCGCTCCTCCCTCGGCCGCGGTGGACGATTTGCTGGGCGAATTCGTGCGATCCAAGAAGAATTTACTGCGGAGGATGTCCACCAAGATTGGTCTGGCCGACCAGACGAGCAGGGAAGGCAAGCTCGATGAAATTCTAGGTGATCTCCAGCGGGGCGGCGGCGCCTGGGATCTTGGGCAGTGCGAGAGCTTCGCGAGATCGCTGCTGGCGAGGGTGGATCACCATCGCCAGTCCAGCCACTGCCGCGAGAGGGTGGATTCTCTGGAAGCTCTAGCAGCCCACAAGAAGGATTGCCGGTTTCGTCCGCTGGCCTGCGAGAACGATGGGTGTGGAGAGATCTTCTCGGCGATGGATGCCGCCAGCCACGATCGAGAGTGCCCGTTCAAGGTGTTGGATTGCGAGCAAGGCTGTGGAGATGGAGTGGCGAGGATGGAGATGGAGCGGCACTGCTCCACCGTTTGCTCCATGAAGATGGTGAGCTGCCCCTTTTCCAGCGCTGGATGCTCGCATGTTCTTCCGCAAGGAGCTCTCGAGCAGCACCACAGCAGCATGCAAACCACGCATCTCCTCTTCGTGCTGGAATCGCTGGAGAGGCACCGGCTTGGATCGGACAGTCTAGTGCAGCGTCTCTCCATCCTTGAAAAGGTACTCTACTTTGTTCGTGCTTTTTTTCTTAGATGGTTGTCATGCTTGATCTTTGGTTTCGGCTCTCTTCACTTTCTTCATATTTTTCTTCGTTTTTCATCTTAGATCTTGCTTGCATGATCTTTTCTCTCTTTAGTTTCGTGATCGAGATGGTTGCTACTTGTTCTTTTGTTTTCGTGTTTTGCTTCTTCCGGTGACGAGGTCATAGCTTTTGCTTTATTTTTCTAGTTTCTACATGTTTCTTTTCTTGCTCGCGAGCGAGCTTGCTTGCTGGACAATGCTTTCTTTGTTTATGTGTTTATGTATGCGTCAGTTTCTTTTACGGAGACTGACGGATCTTTTACTTTTGTCCACTGTAACAGTCCATGTCTTTGACGGAAAGGATCAGCGCTGCGGATGTGAAGTCACTGGCAATTACCGTCAAAGAGCAAGAAGCCAAGATCAAAAAGCTTGAGGCAGAATTGAAGAAACTGGGCAAAGACTCCACGAAATCAGCAACAGACCTTTCGACTAAGGTGGGACGAATCGAAAAGAGCCTACAAACTCCTTAGACGACTCACAAGCGAACAGGTATACTTACAATCTCTTCCTTCCTTTGCCTGACCTCTTTCTTGATTCCGGTTTTTCTTTTCCTTTTTCAGGAAACTCTGTAGCTGTTATCCCGTTAAGTAAAACATCCGTTAGAACACCTCCTCCATCGCATCTCAAATGTTCATCATCTTGAGGTTCTATTCTTTTGGGTTTGTCCAGAGTTTTCGATGCTCCATTGATCATTTCTCTGGAAGTGGTAGCTGTGTCGCAGTGAGACAATTTGAAACATAGGCGTAATGGCTTAAACTTGACATACACAGTTACTCAGAAGTTAGCAAAGCCTGAATGAGAAACAGGACAAGAGCTCAAGAACACGATGAAATCCAGGATCAAGAAAGGTAATAGTATTTTATTTCACGACGAAAAAAATATTTCATCACTGCCGCACGATAAACTGTCACTTAACTGATTCCATGCAGGAACAGTTGTTCAAACCGGGATCAACTTCAATCGCAAGAACCGATGGGCGCTCGGTTCTTGTTTTCATGCTGCTCGAAATTCCATGCTGCTCGAACCAGGGATCCACAACCCGCAGTAGCATCAACCGCTGCTCCATCTGGCGGCAAAAGAGCTAAAACATCACTGCATCGCAAACAGTGACCAGTAACGATATCCAGGATACACCTCGGCCCTGAACTCTTCAACAGCATCTGGTATAACGTCCGTGCTGCTGTCGTATCCAGGCAAAACTCTGGCAGCACGATCGCAATCTCGATTTCCCGTTCGCCCAGCTCGGCAAAACGCGAAGTCCACGGAATACCTGCATTTTCATGTGTGAAATCCACGAACTTGTCAACTTCTTTGGTGTTGCTAGGTTGGATCCCCGGTTTTTTTGGCAATAACCTGCATTTTCAAGTGTGAAATCCACGAACTTATCAACTCCAAAAGTTTGTCCCTTGAAAGCGCAAGCTCCGGTAGCGTCTACCAGATCGATCAACAAAGAAAACGAACTTAGTCATCTTGCATGAAGGAACAACACAGAGTTGCAAGCTCCCCTCCTTAACGCTCCGTACAAACGCTAGCAACGAAGAGAAGTTCTAAGAGGCCGCAAGAAGAATCAGAAAAAGTGGACAGAGTACTCACTCTGGAGACTTCTTTGGAGCTCCTTTCCTGGATGGATATGGATTCTCCTTTCCCAGCAATTCCAAACGAACATCCCGCTTGATGTATAGTGACCAACCACGACTCAGTGATCCCGGTGGCTCGGCCACACTTCACGACACTGCAGTCGTCTACACTGGCATTCTACATTGGAATCCGAGCTTGCGGCTGAAACACTATCGTGCTTGCAAAGAATTCCAGTCAAAGAAAATGTAGAATAATACAACTAATATCTATCTCATCTTATGATGGTTACTCAGCTTTGTATAACTCTAGAACTCACTCTCACAACATTCCATCATGTTTTAAGTTTCTACTTAACTAAAATATGCTTGAATATTTTAGGACATTCTGCCATTCTTTATAATTTATAAACATTTTTGTAATAAGATTAATTTTTTTATACATTATAAACATGTTTATAATTTATAAACTTCCATTTGATCAATTGGATTAATAAATAGGAAAAACACTACTTTTAAACAAACCAAGTGTTGTTACATGCAATATCAAGAACAACTATAATTACAAATATTTACCTTAAAAATATAAATCTAAAATTTATAAAAGAGCATATCATAATTCTTTATATAAAACACAAGAAAAAAAATGTATTTTTGCATCATAAAAAGTTTTCTTCTTTGAAGAACTCCCTGGTGTGATTAATGATCTCACTAATATTCTCAGTTTGGACCAATATATAAACATGAGTTACTTCATTTTAAAATATACTAAATTAACAATATATACATAGCTAGAAAACCAATAATATACTAATGGATATGATTGAGAAAAATTAATTGCAACAATATATGAGAAGACTATGGAAATAGGTGATCAAAGTATCTAAATTAGAATATATTTTTAATAATAATAATATTGAAACTAAATGACAAATCAATATAATTTAATTTGAATGAAATAATAGTTGATATAGATTAATATAAAATAATTATTTTAAAATACGGTAAGTTTACTAACTATTTCCTAGCATATGCTGCTCAGTTAGCAAACACTGTTTTGATTATCATAATTTTACTACATAGAAAACTAAATTGGAATAGTATCAAAACAATATATATTCTCTTCCACTTTGAAAAAAAGAATTGAGAAAGTAATTATATATATGTGTTTCATTATAGAAAACTATCAAATTCCTTAAAAAGAATTATAAAAGCCAATGATATAGTGAGTTTCCATTGCAAAAAGTTGAGCATCAATACTAGTCACCACATTGCATATAACATGTGTAATAACACCTTCTTCTCTCACCCCACTAACATTACAAACATCATGTTCATCGCTAATGATTTTGAAGCTAAAAATACCTATAAAGTATTTATAATATTCTAATTTGATTTTTTCTACAAACTTCAAAAACATGTGCATGTGTTCAGTGATATAGACCATGCCTATCATGAGCTCAAACTGTCATGATTTGCTAAGGAGATGCCAAGTTGTATTTTCTATAGTCTCTAAGGAACTAAAGATAAAGATGTGTGCAAGATTGCACCCTTCACTATTATTTTGAAAATTCTTTACAATATGTCTTGGGACCACATATAGAAGCACTTGCACTATATCTTATTCATATATGGAAAGAACTTCAAAGTATGTTTTTCATAATCTTTTTCAATGGTTTATAATGCATGTTTTGTCAATAAGTGCATGGCCACTTCATCCCTAAAAACCCTTGAATAATCTCTATTTATTACAGCTGCCATGTTTGCAAAAAGTTTAGGATTGAGAAATAAATGTGAGATATTGGTTGATGCCACCATTACAAAAACAAACAAATGAACATTTTTCCAAATATTTATATAGACCACATATATAGTCTTACTCTTGGCCAATTTCTAAAGATGTTCACTTTCCTTGGATGCTTGGGGCAATCAAATTTTTAGAGACAAAGAAGCTAGCAACAAGCCACTTTTTATTCTCGATTGATGCTGATCAAAGCTCCCAAAAGGTTATTGTGTTCAAGGTTGATTAAAGTATTATACACTTTCTTTTTTTGTTCCACAGTGTGCTTTTATTTTCTATTTGTACAATATATTGTCTATAAACTTGCTACATAGTTGTATTTGGGATCCATTATATTCACTTGGTGCTAGATTGCAACCTCAAAGTCTCTTAGAGGACTCTCCACCAAACTTTGACTTCACTTTCAGTGAGTTGAGCTCCATTTTGATTATCTCCATGACTTCCTATGTGATTGAACAGCAAAAAGTTTGAAGTGGAGGTAGAGCATGAATCTCCCCGAAACTCTTCTTCCTCTTGTATGTCGATTCCTTCTCGGCTATTGTGGTCATGGCATCAGCCACACTTAAGATAACACTTCCATGCCAAAACATCTCTAGAGTCACACAATCACTTGTAAGTTCTAGAAATTTTAAGAAGAAAAACCAACAACTTTGATTTGTGAATAGCATTTGGACCCAGGATTTCATCAAGCAAAAAATATTCTAACTATGAGCTCGAAATCTCCCCTAGGTGGCTCCACAAGTTCTTTAGCTCCTTTTGCTCATTAGTGAGTGTGGAGGAAGCTATAGACTGAAATCTCACCCCAAGAAGCAAACCATGTAAAAACTCTTCAGCATAGATGGACTCCCAAGATCGTCTGGTCTTTGTGGAGTTCTATCTCCTCCTTTTTAAACTAGAAAAGCCCTTGGCAAAGAGCTACTGGATTCATTGAAATCTTGACTATATGAGCTATTTGTAGAAGCAGATAATTGGAGAAGTTACTGTTGAGACAATGCATCCTCACTCCATTTTATACCATTCCCAAGATCTTCTCCCGATAGAGAGTTGCCTTGAACTAAGTGCTTTGCAAATGATGCTTGAGCTTGGTGCCAATGGTGAGCATGGAAGTGGGATGAGCTTGGAGTTGTAGTGTGCAATGAGCTCCTATGACTTCCTCATTGTGAGAAATAAATCCTAGAGCCCCAAAAGTGGAGCCAAAAGGGTGTTATATGGTAGTGGCTAAAGCAGAATCCAAACAAAAATAACATGTTTGGACTAAAAAACTCCGACTTGAAAAGTTGAAAGTGGGAGTGGAACTCCTAATGAAGTGCTTGAGGAATGAGTATGAAACAAGCAATAAATGAATCTCTAAAAAAAAGACACAAGAGGACAAACACATGACATGTGGAAGTGTCCAAAGTAAACCCAAGATGGAATCTGAAATAGAATCTGAGGTGGACCTAGGATGGAGTTTGAAATAGACCAGAGATAGAATCCAAAATGGAGTCTGAGATGGACTCGAGATGGAGTCTAAGATGGACTTGAGATGGAGTTTAAGCTATTCAAACCCAAGGACGCTTAACCCCAAATATCCTAAGACCCTTAACCGATTAGAAAAGGGGGTGCACTCTTGTTCATGGGCCCTTTCCATCTATATTTGAACCCTTATAGATCATCTCTCGAATTGTTTCTTTTGGTTGTTTATAATTCACTATGCTTCCTTACAAGTTCACACCCTCGTGAATGGAAGCTGAAAGCTGCAGTTCTCTTGAGAGTCTCGCTCTCTTGACACTCTACCCCTTGGGTCAAGCTCAACTGAGAGCAAATTGAACTTGCCAAATGTCAATCAACATGTGGTGTGATTCCCTCTATATTTGAACCCCTATGGATCATCTTTCAAGTTGTTTCCTTTGGTTGTTTACAATCCACTATGCTTCCTTACAAGTTCACGCCCTCATGAAAGGAAATTGAGAGCTGTAGTTCTCTCGAGAGCCTCGCTCTCTTGACACCCTACCCCTTAAGTCAAGCTCAGCTGGGAGCAAACTAGACTTGTTAGATGTCAATCAATATGTGGTGTGATTCCCTTAGCCAACCAACAAAGTTGAACTCGAGACCTCTTTAATACTAAATGTAAGCTCCTGAATTTGAATTTCCTGGGAGGTCACTGTAAGTGACTAAATTTTCCATTCTACTTTAGTCACTTAACCACACTTCTAACCACTTGGAGGAGTCTCACTCACAACCTTCGTAAGTCCTATTTTGGACTTAGGGGCTTGCTAGCCCCAAGAATGGCATCCATGCCACTCAACCATTGCACTTGGTCCAAGTGCTCCACGTGTCCGATCCCATGACCGACACCCCAAGGTACCACTGACATATCAGCCTGTTACGCTAAGGCCATGCCTATTCATTTTGGTCA